CAATGTATATGAAAAGCATAGATATGTAACATTACACAATTTCATAATAAAACATATTCGGTGTCTTACTGTGGATGTAGGTCTTTGACCGAACCACATAATTCTTTTGTGTCATTATTTTTTTATTTTTTCTTCTGTGAGCAAAGTTTTATTTTTCTTCTATGAGATTTACCTATTACTTCAGTTGGATCTGTTGTGAATGTATGCTCAATTTGTGGTTGTAGGTTAACTTTTTTTAAATATATCGATGTGTTTCTTCTCTTGTTGGTGCATTTGATTAATTATCCTATGCATGTTTAGTTACAAAATGAATTTTTTTACACAATATGTAATTCTTCATATAGTATCACAATGTCTAAGACAAGTGAAGGTGATCCCTCAGTTATGTAGGATAAGGAGGTTACAATTATTTTTTGCAACCTCTGCATCACCAAGATTGAGATCGGGAATAGGCCGACCATCTATTTCAACTAGGACGGTTGGCAGAACATATCTAAAAGGTTTAAAGAATTGACTGTAAGGAATTATGACAGACTGAAGTTTAAAAATAAATGAGATCAATTGAACAAGTGAAAATTTTGGAAGGAGCTGAAACGTGGATCCACGGGGTTGGGCTGGAATCCAATCAAACGGACAATTGATGCTCATGAGGAATGGTGGGCCGGAAAATTAAAGGTAAAATTGTCATTATTTTTTTGTTACTTATAAATATTTTCATTTTAAACAATTATCCTCCTCAACTCTAAATCATTATTGTAATGTTATAGGAAATGCCGACAGCAAAAAAATAAAAACAGAGTGGAATTGACCCTGAACTTGGAGATAAACTTGACATTATGTTCAAGGGGGTATTGGCAACAGGAAAGCAAACATTTAGCCCATGTGAAACAGAGTTTGCAGGAATACCCGATGATTTTCCACCAGAGTCGGTAGCAGTTGACGAAGAAATACACAGCGTTAACCAGAGGGAGATGGGGGAATCAAGCTCACAGATGAAGAGGCCATGGCTAGGAATAAGAAAGAAAGAAAATGATACTTTTGTCAAAACTTCATTTGACAGACTCATAGATGCTTTTGGAGCACCACCGCCTGCTCCACTATCTGACAGCACTATCTTCGATTGTATTCGCACTTTGAAAAACATCCCTGAAGTTGTAGCAGATAAGCACTTTCATGCAATATGTATGAAAAAACTCGAGGATCCAACACGTAGGCACATATTTATGACGATGGAATCAGAGTTGCGAGTCGAATATTTAAGTGTTATTGTAAATGATTGAGTTTTTAGAATTGTATGTGTAATCTGCAATGTTATGAACTCATCTGTTATTTAGAGCTGTGTTTCATTTTTAAAATGTACTTTTAATTGATTCCTAAATGTAAATTAGCAGAGCTTTTATTTTATTTAAAATGTATTTTAACTAGCTGAGTGTTCTCATTATTTATTTCTTCATTGGTTAATAATTGATGAAATAACCGAGATCTTTCTTTCTTTATGATGGATCCACAACATGAACGTCGTAAAAGAATAGCATAAGCTGCAGCTATTGCCATATTACTATTGGAGTATTACTGATCAAGCAGTGCTCGTATACCCCAAATGTCCTCCAATTTTTTTGGGGATAAATGGGTCGACGAAATCCTTTCTGGACATTCTATTAGGTTTAGTAACATATTTCGAATGACAGTACCGATCTTTATGAATCACTTGCACGAGTTATCCTTCAATCATGGACTCCAAGATTCCTCGAGAACGACGAGAAGGGAGGTATTGGCTATAACACTATATATTTTATCACAGAATCAATCAATTAGGGGTGCTATGGAGAGATTTCAGCATTCATCAGAGATAATAAGTCATTATTTTTTCAAAGGCATACATGCACTTGTTAGCTTAGCCTCTAAAATCATCAGGCCAGAGGATCCATCATTTGCTAATACTCCAGGACAAATCGCATTTGATCCCTGTTACATGCCTTACTTTAAGGTAACCATTCTTTTATTTACTTTCATAACAACATATAAATATTTTCTAACATTATAAAATAGAACTGCATAGGTGCAATTGACGGTACTGACGTTGATGCCCGAATACCCAGCAAGGATAAGGTGGCTTACATTGGTCGAAGTGGTTTGACTACTCAAAATGTCATGGCGATATGTGACTTTAACATGTGTTTCACATATGTTATGACGGGCTGGGAAGAGAGTGCACATGATAGTCAAATTTCGTTTATGTTATTCGTGGTAGGAAAGAAATGTTTAACAAACGTCACTCTTCTTTAAGAGGGATAATTGAAAGAACGTTTGGTGTGTGGAAGAAGAAATGGGTCATCCTACGTGATATGCCATCATATCATTTCAGAAGCAGGTGCATATTGTGGTGGCAACAATGACACTTCATAACTTCATACGGCAACACCCTTCACGTTCAGATACGGACTTTAGTATGGCTGATAACGAAGAGCTGACAGTCTTTAAAGAACCATCAGAAATCATGATCGGGCCTTCAGTTCCTGAGGATGAGAATGAATTTAATGAATTTGTAGTTCATGACGCGGATGGTGTAACTGAGATGGCTCCTCTGAGGAGGATTATAGCAAATGATATATATGGCAGCTAATCCAGCAAGTCATTTTCTTCGCATATATGTATATTAATTTTTATGTGTATTTAATTTTTTTGGGATAAGTAATGACATTCTTTTTTTTCTAGGATATCAGTTACAGACAAAAATATTTTGTGTTATTTTAGACTACTATCTCTGTTGCTCACGTCGCGTCAGTCTAATAGCTTTGGGAGGCAGTTCTACGGTTGTGCTAAGGGTGTTTCTGCTCGTTGCGGCTTCTTCCGGTATGCTGACAGTCTCACATATTACACTGCCAGCAGTCATGGAAATCCGATATTTTCTCAGGTTGATAGTGCAGATGAGGACAGGCGTAACCAAAGTTTGAAAATATTTTAATATTTCCAATTGTAGTTGTACTTGTTTTTGTACTTTTTTTATTTCTTCTAGTACTCACGAGAGTGTGAGAACTGTATCTCATCTTTTGAAACTGATATGTGATGATTGTATGTTTCTGCACTATATGTTTTTGTATTATCAATAAGCTATTCTGAATAAGCTGTCCTAAACAATTTTATCAAACATAGGCAGGAATGTCATTTAACCATCAATAAGCTAATCTCAATTAGGGTCTGTTTGGGACAGCTGCAGCTTATCCAGCTTCTGCTGATAAGCAGCTTATCCTGATAATCTGCTGATGATCAGCTGATCCGGATAAGTTGTCTGGTTGTTTGGTTAACGCGCCTGGAAAACAGCTGATTGTGAAAAATTGACCCTTTTGCCCCTGGTCTGAATAAGCAGTTTAACTGTTTGGTTTGTGCGTTTTGTAAACAGCTTATTTGTAAATTTTTTGAGTTGAATGAATAATCTGTGTAGCAGAATGTTATTTTCTCAGATATCTAGAAATGAAATTGCAAAAAAGTTTAATAATATTTATATAACTCAAAAAAGTTGGGATTACATCAAGAAAACATAGTGATATAAAGGAAAGTTCAATACATATTTATGAAACTCTAATATGGATTATAGAAAGACCCAAAAAAAAAGAAGAAATAACATGTTAAAATTACAAGGAAAAATATGACAATATTGAGTTTAACATGTAA